TGTGAGGGTTAACAGTGATCACAGATTTAAGACACTTAACAGGACACTGGGCACAAAGACTTACTCCCTGCCTCAAGGAATTATGGGACTGGTAGAAGTTTCTGCTCCTTAACCCTTTCCTGCTTACTCTGTATGCTAACCTTTCGCAGCCTCCTTTACATGGATTTGTTGCTTTGTGTTAAGAGGGTTATGAGTTTCTTTTCCTCTACCACAAAGAGCAGGGCACACACTGGATGACTGACTACAGAAATAAGTAATAACCCAACAGAGTTGAGTGTTTGGATGTCCAAACTCACCCTGCTCCCTGCCAGCTGCCTGAAGTTTGAAGCAAATCTCCCTCCAACTATCAGAGGAAGCAATGGAGAATCAAGACAAACACATCAATGGCATCTACCTGCAAACAACCAACCAGCAATCCTGGCAGCACAGATGTAGCCTAACACAACAGACCAGGTAGAATTGGTGAGTACCATTATCAAAGGTCAGAGGGAGCCAAACAAAAAGATTTCTCTCTAGCAGGTAACCTGCTAGACTGTGAGCAACTGTTACAGGGTAGGGATGTCCCACAGCAAGGAATGCAGAATGGCCTAGTGAGAGATGGCATAAAAGGTGACAGCTAGGAGGTGCCCAAAGGAGAAGAGCAAAGAAATTCTTTTGTGTCCTCCACTGCCCAATTCACCTGTCCCTTGTCAGCTTTCCTTTCCTTCTCTTCTCATAAGTGTCCTGGGAGACATGGCTTTGCCCGATTTCTGACTTTCTCCCAGAATTAAGACACCACAGGGGACACTGATGCTCAGTTTGGGTTTTAAACAATTAACCACAACCATTTTTGGGCAAGAGATTTGGGAGCACATGCAGGCATTAATTTTTTATACATTAATTTTTTATATTTTATTGTTGCTATTGTTGGTTTGGGATGGTACTGCTTCTAAAAGCCTGTCCCACTGAGTTATTCATTGTTCAGAACCTGCACTAACTCCCACTGAGTTGGTTCCACTTGGTATATGAAGAAACTAAAGCCAGGCATGATGCACACTTGTAATCTCAGCATTTGGAAGTAGATGCAGGAGCATCACTTGATCCCTATCAAGGCCAAGTTTGGATACTTGAGACCCTTGTCTCAATAAATAAGTGGATGAATAAATAAATAAAATTAATCTAGTCCCAAGAATTTTGGCATAGCAACAGAAGACAAAATGATAGTCATCCACTTCCATCTTCAATAGACATTTGGCTTTTTAAAAACTCAGACGTCTATAAAAATCAGATTAGTAAGTATCTAATGCTGGTGATCCAGGTGGGAGGGTTGGGGGTTTGACAGTGCTAGCTAAAGGGTATGACTGTGTATGTGTGCTTGTGTGTTTGTATGTGTGTGTTGACAAAGAAAGTTTTAAAATAAACTGTGGGGTGTGTGCACACATCTATCAATATAAAAAATTGGATTAAATACTTTCCCCAGCCTGGCATTAAATACTTTTTCCTCACAGGGTCCTGTGCATGTTCTGCAAATACTCTATCACTGAATTAGACTCTCAGCTTCAAATCCAGTAGAATTTGAAGATGAATTGTGTGTGTGTGTGGTATCTAAATTATACTTCTTTTTCTTTCTTTTCTTTTTTTGATTTTTTCAAAACAGAATAACTCTATGTAGCCCTAGCTGTCCTGGAACTCATTTTGTAGGTCAGCCTGGCCTCGAACTCACAAAGATCTGCCTGCCTCTGCCTTCTGAGTGCTGACATCAAAGGTGTCCGTCACCACACCCAACTGTTCTAAATCATATTTCAACAAATATGTTTTTTAAAAATCTCAGCTCTGGACTCATCCCTCTCCCCTGAAAATTTCTCAGACTTGTGAACAAGGAGACTTTCACTTCGAGATTTAGCATAGATGAGCATCTATGGGTCACCACAAGGGGGCAGGTACTAGGCAGTGAAAACACAGAATGGAAGAGCATTCCATGCTGTGCTGATTTGTTTGAATTTGGCTCTGATTTTGTACTGTTTGTTTGTTTGCATCATTTAGCCCAGGCTGGTCTCAAATCTACTATATAGCCAAGGATGACCTGCATCCCCAGCTCAGTCTGCCTTTTTCTACATATGCAGTTGGCTTCTGTATCTCAAAGTCCTGTATCTACAGATCCAACCAATTAGAAATAGAAAGACTTTGGGGAAAAAATTACCTATACTGAACATATAGACTAGATCTCACTATATAGTCCTGGCTGGCCTTGAATTTTCAATCATCTGGCCTCCTTAATGCTTGGATTACAGACATGCACCTCCATGTACATACAAAACAGATTTCATTTCCTATCCTTGTTCTCTAAATAATACAGTACAGCAATTCTTTTGATAGCATCTACAATGTGATAGGTACCTGAGATGATTTAAAGTGTATGAAAAAACAGGTCATTAAAATGGATCAGCAGGATCCTACATTCCAAACAGCTGGACAAAACAGCCCTACAGACTACAGCTAGGATATCTGAATCTTCTTCGAATCCCCCAAGACAGCGCCCCTTACCAGCAGGAAGTAGTTTGGAAAGAACGACGCCCAAATTCCCAAATATTGTGTATATATGTTTGTTTTCATTTAATTGGACTTTGTTATATAAAATTAAATAAAAAATACTCTATATGCATAAAAAAAAATAAAATGGATCAGCAGGTAGAGACACTTGCCACTGAGCTTGAAGACCTGAGTTCAGTTCCTAGAATCCTCATAGTATGAAGATAGAACCAATTCCTTTGTACATGCATATGTACATGCATACATATGACACACAGAAAGAGAGAGTGAAAAATTACATCTATGGAAAATGTGTACAGGTTATATGCACTTATTATGCCACTTTATATAAGAAACTTGGTGACTACAAAAAGACCTGTAACCAACCTCCATGGATACCAAAGGATGAGAAGATACACAATTTCTTCCAACTCAATAAGCCAACACACACACACACACACACACACACACACATACCAAACAAACAAAAAACTGTCTTAAGTTATACCTAAGAGGTAAAATAAATAAACCTCTTATTTTTAAGGCTATCCTTCCTACTTCAATTTTTAAAAATTAATATTGTACCATACCCTTAAGTAACTCAAAATCAGAAACATTTTCCTTACATTTATTCAGCTCTACCCGCCTAACGTTAGCCAGCAATGAATGACTCTCTCCTCTATATTTTGTCTTCAATAGATGTGACAGAATGCCAATGCCTCTTTTAAGGTCTCTCACATTTGAGGAAAAGATGGTTTAGTTTTTGAGATATCCCCCATCAACCATCACTTCCCGCTGCGCTGTGGAAAAGGCAACAGGGTGGAATGCCAGAAAAGAAAGACCTGTTGCCCCCAAGGCCCATAACTGGGAATTTGTACAGTCATTGCAAACAGGAGAGACATTTCATGGTGAATCAATGGAAGAAGCCACGAAGACTCAGAGGGTCATCTCCTGCATAACCCAACCCTAGCCCCCAGCACCATGAAGACACATCACACACCTTTGTTTATTTTCATTTTTACCATATTGTTCCCTTAGTCCATCTTATGCATCTGATTTCATGTGTGTCTCAATGTTTTCTTTTTCCTATCTGCATGTGTTATGGTTTGAACCTCTCCTTCCCAAGACTTCGACTATGTTTCCAAGCTTCTCTTTTGGTGTACAACCACTACAGGTGATATAGTGTAAATCTTCCAATGGCTTCCTCTCTTTAATGTGAATGAAATTTGCATGTCTCAACTTCTTTTGTTGTACAGTGAGTTGGTTTATTTTTGTTTTGTTTCATTTAGGTTTGGGGTTTTTTTTGAGATGCCAACCTTTCCATGTAACCCAGACATATCTCAAACTTCAAGGATCTGCCTGCTTCCATTTCTCTAGTTGTGGGATTACAAGCAGGTGCCACATAGACTTATTTATTCATTCATTTATTTATTTATTTATTTAGGAGGTGGCTGTGTGTCAAATAGATGTTTGTATTAGTGTCCTACCATGCTTAGCTTCTACATCCCTTCACATCCTGCAAACCCTTCTCAACATCAGCACCATTCGCTGGTGTCACTCTTGAGCTCCGGAGACCCACTCAATAAATGCTGCCTACGTGAGAATGAGTGAAAGTGAACCAAATAGAGCGAATGATCCCCATTAAGTGATTCATAACTTAGTTACCACCACCACCAACCACAACAACAATGCTCCACACCCAACAGCACACAAATATCTGCTAACAATAGTCCCTGAGGCCAAAAGCAAATGGGGAGTGTGGCATGGTACCCATGAGTACTGGGGGCCTCCATTCCACCATGGACAACTTCTAGAAGGTGTACACCACCAAGGCTTATGTAATTACCCTGCGAGCCTCACACCAGTTCTTGGATGTGAACAGCAAACACCTACCTAGCAAACCTGGAGCTGGCATGGTGATAAAGAGATGTGCCTCTGACACGGTAGGATAGGATATGTGGTGAATAAATACTTCACCTCTACCTAGGCATATGGACCTGTATGGGCATCTTAGTGTAGGAAAAAAGACAAAGAATGAAATGGAATTTGGAAACCCACATGGAGGCGCCTTTTCTCACTAGTCTTCCACCATCTCCACTGTACAATGGAATCATAGCACCATCTACCTTAAGAGTTTGCCTGAGGATGTAATTTGGAGACAGGGAGAAGTACCCACTAGTCTGCACTCAGTGAGGGCTCAGCAAATGCTAACTGATACCATCTTACTGTTCTTTTTTGCTGTGAGAATCAAGAGATGAACTGCAGCATGAATCTATGCCAACCTACCAAGTGATATAAAGTCCCTAGTCCTGGGCTGTGGAGACAAATCTTCTAGCTCTGGTGCCCTGGCAGCTCCTGAAGACACCTTGGTGACGCGAGAAGCTCCAGCTTTGGTCCCGGAAGTTTCCACCAGAATGCCCTGGGGCCCTGGACGGCTCTCGGGAGGGGCGGGAGGTGCCAGGGAAGACAGCTAGAGAGAAACCGAGACCTACCTGCTCTCACTGCACTCCTTCCGCTCCCTCACCCTCAGCCACTTGCGGAGCAGGAAGCGCTTTCGGCGCGGGGACGCGCTGGGTGTGGAGCAGTTGGACCACGGGGTATCCTCGTCGCTGGAGGGCGTAATCTCAATGGACGGCAGCTGCAGGAACTCCTTGCCCGGGGCTAGAACGCCGGGTAGGTCCGGGGCTACCAGCCCGGCCTCCAGGCTCTGCTCTTGCACATTCTTCATCCGGCGCATTTTAAAGCGCCGGCGGCGGAGCGTGGGGGTGGACGAGCTGGACCACACCGCGCTGCCCTCGGGCGCGCCCTGCGGCTCGGGTACTTGCAGGGCGGGCAGCTGCAGGTTCTCCATCATGTTAGCCGCCGGCATCGGGGTCCCTGGCCGCTGCCCGGTGCCCTCCACCTGCAGCCTGGCCCGCAGCTCCTCCTCGCGGCTCCCCACTCCGGGGCCGGTGGCACTATCCGCTGTCACGTTCAGCGAACAGCTCGAGCCTGCCAGTGTATCAAGTTCCTTTTCCTGGAGCGCCGCGAGGAGGGGACTGGTGGGGACGCCGCCTCCTGCCGTCTAGAACTTTTCGGAGCGCTCTTCCTCGCGCAGTCCGCCGCGGGAGAAGCGACCCCGGACGTAGTGACAGGCGCCTGCCAAACCTCGCCACCCGCCTGCCCTCCTGGGGCTCCCCTCGCGCGCCCGCGTGTTTGTCTTCCGCTGCGCTCGTTCGCTCTGCTGCTGTCTCTGCCTTAGCGGGACTTGGCGGCCCAGGGCCCCAAGGGGCTTGCGCTGTAAACTCTCAGTGGTTTGCGTTCAGCAGACTGCGTTGGGAAGCCGGCTTGGCGCTGCAGGAGAGTGGAGGGCTGGAAGAAGAGGCAGTGGTAGGAGGGAGAGGAAAACGAGAGAGAGAGAGAGAGAGAGAGAGAGAGAGAGAGAGAGAGAGCAAGGGAGACACTAGATAAAAGCAAAAAAAAAAAAAGAGGAGGCGGTGGAGCTGGGGGTTGAGGAGAGAGTAGGTAGCTATCCTGAAAGGACACGCACAGGCAGCGACAGCCGTGTAATTGTACACGGAATCCCTTGGGGAGGGACTCTACCTCCAACTCAAGGCTGCTCCAATCAGCCAAATGAAATAGGAGCACAATCCAAACTTTCTCAGGGCAATGATTGGCCAAGCAGCTCTGGTTAGTGAACTCCCTGTTTTTTGGTTTGTTTGTTTTTTTTTTCCCCCTCGGGGGAGGGGAATCAATGGATTCAGCCCACGCTCTCAGACCACCCAAGACACAGGGTTGAGGGAAAACTAAGGGACTTTTCAGCAGAGCCTCTCTCTCTCTCTCTCTCTTTCTCTTCTTCAAAGAGACATGTATTCTTTGAGTTCGTGGAGTGCTGACCTGGAAGACTGGGCATAGTCCAAAGAGAAAGGAAGGTTCCTGGAGGCTGCTTCCAAAATGGCAAGCTGAGGGCACTTGACATGACACAAAGGAGAGACAAAGGACTGGATGGAAAGACACAGGACACACGGGACCAGTAAGGAAATGTCTTCCCCTGTACATGGTGGGTGACCCTGCCAACAGTATAGGCCCATTCTAAGCAAAGGCAGCATGCCCTCAGATCCCAGAGTCAAGTGCATCCCTGAACATTCTGAGTCTTTCTGATGCTGCTTCAGTCTGCTGGGGCACAGGGGCTGGGTCACAAAATCTGCTGTGGCCCTAGGCCTCTGATGTGAGACATATGGAACAATCCCTCTAGTATATCAGTGTGCTACACCCCCTTGCCTAGTGTGCCTTAAGCTGTAAAAGGTAGAAGTGATCTGCTCTGGGAAGACATTCTTTGTTGGATGGAACCTAACCTGCTGGGGCTTGACACTTAATGATCCCACCTGGAAGCAAGGCATTTGCCTCTTCAAGGGTAAACCATAGGGAACAACAAAGACCCCACTACAAGGTCTACAATTTGACCCATTCTCTTAGGTGCCATTTGTTAGTCCAGTTTCCCTTTGGGGAAATAAAAATCACACCTTCAAAGGTCATAAAAAGTCACTGCAAAATGAAATATATCCCTACAGGTCAGTAAGACATCTTAGGTAACAGCTGGCCACATGTCAGACTGTCATGTCCTGTAATGACACATGGGGGGGGGGAGCTTGAGACATCCTGACATTACACAACCTCCTTGAGGCTGAAAAAAAAAAAAAAAAAAAAAAAAAAAAAGGAAGTGCATCTGACTGAATAGCCAAGGCCATATCCATCTGTTGGTGATTCCAGAGTATCAGTCCCTTTTCTGACCCTTCCTTCACATCCGGCTGCTGGCTTGAACTGATATGCTCTCGTATCACTCACTCTATTTTAACTCCTGCTCATAACAGAAGAAGAAGCCACTTTCCATCAGGTGTCAGGCCTGGCAAAGAGCAGGAAAGCTCTTGGGCTCAGAGCCTTGGCTGCCACTCTAAGGAATCAACTAAGGATCTACATAGTTTGTTTGCTGTCTTGGATCTCCTCCATTGAGGAACATTTTGTAGAAGTTCTGACAACTTCCCAGTTCAAAGAACTTGACCCTTAGATGGGCTGTTGATATACGAGAGCATAGTCTCCATGCTTAAGGGAAATGGAGCACTACCATACATTTAGAGGCCAAAAAATTGGTCAGATAATTTGAAGGGTACACCACACACACACACACACACACACACACACACACACACACCTCATAGGCCTTCTGAATGTAAATGCATCGATTTCAAGACGAAGAAGAAGAACCACCAGCTTTTTCCTCCCATGGACTTCAGCCAGGTGTCCCATAGGAGAGTCTACACCTAAAATCCTCTGAGGTTTCAGTTAAGCTCTGGGCACAGTAGTGGTTGAGAATAATTGTTTACATTTTACCTGGCCTGAGGGAAAACCTTTGCCAGACCAAATCTAAAAGGGTCTTGCTTGCAAAGAAGCAGATACCAAGAGCATCCCTTGTCCTTGACCTTGTCTTCCACTCACTTCCACCCGCAGCCTCTTCTTTCCTTAAAGCTTTATCCTTTTCACTCATCAAATCCCCAGGCAAAATTAGGACTTCAAGTTCATCCTCACTTACAAAGAAAGTTTGAGGCCAGCCTGAGCTTTAGAAGGACCTTATCACAACCAACCAAACAAACTAACTAACAAAAAGAAAACCACACCCCACACCCCCCAGCCACTGCAACTGTCTCTGTTTGCTTTGGAACACAGAGAGTTGCAATTGTCAGCTGTTGTCCCCTCAAAGCTCACCCAGAACAAGCCAGATATTTCTTCCTTTGAACCTTTCCAATGTTCTTTTTATTTGTATATGACCTTCAGGCTTTGTAAATGGTTCTCATACATCACATTCCATCTTCCCAGTGACCTTGCTAACATAACAGACGTTACTACCCTCTTCTTGCAATAATGAAAGTGGGAAGAGCTACAGAAGCTTATCCAAGAACTCCCATGAATGACAATGACTAAAATGGCAAGGGCAGAATCAGGCCTTTGGAAACCACTGTAGAGGCCAGGAAAATCATACAATGAACATCAACTCAAGAAGGTAGTGCCCTGGTAGTTCCAGATTGTAACTGTTCGGTTCCAACAGCTGTTTCACAAGTAGGCAAAAAGAAGCACAAATCTTGGGGGATGACAGTTTCCCAAAGCAACTGATGGAGGGTATCATAGCCAAAAAGTACACACAACTCCCTTTCAGACTTGCACCCTCCCCTCCCCACATTTCCTGTCTCTCCTATTGACTCTAAATACCACCTCAATTCTCAGACTGACCTCATCTGAGTGTGTGCTAGGGTGGGGGTGGGGAGAGGGCGGTTGTTGCAGACAGATGGTGTCCAGAATATCCTAACCCCCAACCTCCAACCCCACCTCTAGGCCTCCAACTTTAAATGAATGGGTCTCATATTACCAAGTGACTGTTGTTTATTCTCAGCTGTACCGGCTCTCCTTTCCTGTCGACACAGGACACCCAGCACCTGTCTATTACTTCTGGTGACCTGCAACAACACAGTACATTATCCAGAAAACCAACAGCTTTGAGGCTAGAAGTCCCCTGAATACACACTTAGATGAGCATGCTGTGAAAACATGCAGTCACGCACCAACCCAGCATCTGTCCAAGTGCATGGACAAGAGCAGACCAGGAATATGTGAGCAAACTTGTGGCTTGCAGGAAAGCTGGAGATGAGGATAGAAATGTAGCAGATGCTGCAACAGCAATGGGCAACTGATCCCCTCTAGTTTCTTCTTTTTAAATTACTGCATACTTCATGCAAAGGGCAGTGTGGGGGATTCATGTTCAGTGACAAACATTTACCCAAGGTTAAGGCCAGTGAACGACTGGAATGCATGGCTAAGCCCAGTTAGGAGTGGCTTTCTCCTTCGAGCTTTAAAAGGTAACTGGAGCTTAGTTAGAGGCTGTGGAAGAAAACAGATTATCTTTTAAAGACCCATATCCGTCCTACCAGTGTGAGGATCTAAAGCTCAGGTTTTCCACTTTAAAACAAAAGCAATTTGGCAGGCACTTGGCTCATCCCTGAGGAGGCTCAGCACTGGGGAGGCTGAGGCAGGAGGATTCAAAATTCAGGTTCAGACTGAACTAAATAGAAAGATCCTGTCTCAAGTAATTGGGTGAAATGATTCAACGTATGCCCCACCCCCTTAAAAATTTGGTCTGAAAAGACTGTCCTTGGCTGCAGGCCTTTTGATCGCTGACCTTCCTGCCATTCACAAGCTGCTTCCCAACCTTGCACAGAAAACTAGAACCATGGAGACCAATGACTAGTTTAACAGGAAGGACCAAGGCATAGAGAGTAAGGGAATAGGAGCACAAATGGAGAGAGTCACTGAATTCTGCCTTTCCTATGTATATTCTAGTTTCTGAATTTTCCTTTCACACCCCCTACCCCTTAGAGGAGCTAACCACTTAGGAAGCATACGGAGATTGGCTCAGTGTGTAAAGTTGCATGCCAGAAAACCTGACCACCTGAATTTTGGGCCTGGGACCTACATGGTAAGAGAGAACTGCCTTCTGCAAGCTGTCTCCTGACAGCTGTGTGCATAACAAATACACAAGCACTCACAGGAGCACATAAACAATCTCTCTCTCTCTCTCTCTCTCTCTGTGTGTGTGTGTGTGTGTGTGTGTGTGTGTGTGTGTGTGTGTGTGTGTGTGTGTGTTTAAGTCAGAAAGAACCATGCTAACTTTGTGTGTCTGGAAAAGCACGGTAGAGTATGAAGGCAGCTCTTGCTAAATACAATCTAAGTCAACCACAGCAGAGCAGCCACCAAGTGCTGGGGGACCTTGATGGAGAGCCTTCTCCTGAGAATAGAGGGTGAGGAGTGCTCGCAGCCTTGGGCAATGTACAAATTTGGCAGAGGCTTGCTTCCATCAGCCTTCACAGGAGCTTGGGTGATCTCTAACATCACCTGGTCATCCTGGGAGAAGGGCAGCCACCAGATAAACCCTCCAATTTCCTAGCTCCTCAGTGGAGATTTTGCATAACATTTGGCTGCCCTTCTCTGTGACATGTAATATCAAAGTACAGGCAAATGCCATCCCTCTTGTCTCTTAAGTCTTGCAAGGACAATCTTTGTGCAAAGCAGGGCTGGCAACAACTTCCTAATGTCACCCCCATCTTC